CTTTTTTTACCGTGGGATTAGATAATTTCTTCTCTACCACCTCTGGCATTTCCACTTTTTTCCTACTTTTTTTTTTTTTTTCTTTCCCACCTAGGAAGTATTATACATTCCTAGCCCTCTGAGCTGTTGGGCTATCAGACAGCTGGATAGCCCTTTGAAACGGGTAGACAACAGAGAGAAGATGAACAGCCAGTCCCTGAGACTAGAGATAGGCAAGTTACTTTAACTGAGTAAAGCCTTGCTCTTTCTGGAGCTAGTGGCAGTAGTGTAGGTTCATCTGACAGAGCTGGAATGTAGCAGTAGGTGGAATGTGTCTGTCATGCTGAGAGGGAACAGGTAAGAGCAGAATGTGTTCTTGAACACATTCTCCAGGGAAGAGGCAAACAAGTGAGCAGGTCAGGTGATTTAGATCTGTTGTTTAGCTCTTTTGACTGGGTGAGTAAACAGTTTTACTGTGCAGCAGAACTTAATTTAATTTCCCTTTACCTTATTGCCAAGCTGAACTGTATTATCACAGCAGAAATCTGAAGGGTCTTCTGGATGTTGCTTTTCCCCTGTTGTGTAGGAAAAGGCACAAGCTTTTGATAACAAAGTTGTTTGCCACTGGCATCTGATAACCTGATGCAGTTTCCAAGCAGGTGTCTCGGTTTATGCCACCTTTCTTTTAGTACTTTCATAAAATGATAGTTAAGAAGCTTTCCTCCCTCCATGCCTGGTAAGTTAAAGTTAGGGTCTGTGAAGAGTAAAAAATGTGTCAGTGTTGTTATCTTTGACAGAATTCAACTGGCTTGGAAAAATTTATTATTGATGCTTAAAAAATTTATCAACACAACTGTGTTCAAATCTTGCATGTCCATGAACAAATACGCCCATTCAAGGAGGGGAAGAGCAAAGTAATATGACTTTGAGCATTTGTACACAAGTAGGCAAAGGAGCCAAGTGGGAGAGTGCTCCAAGGCCCTTCCTAACTTTCTAAAGTAAAAAACCCACAAAAACCACAACACCGCCACTCCCCCAGTGTCTTGGTCCTGATAGAACACTGGCAAAAAGGCATAAATAATATGTAGACAGATGCAAACTGCTTTCATGTCTTGTAGCTAATTGAAAACCTGTTAGGTGTTACTTCTACAGAGATATGTCTTTCATCAGCAAGTGCTCAGAGAGCTGCCATCAAGAGGTGGTCTTTGGTTACTAATGTGACCATACAGAATTCCCCCATTGTTTTGGCTTGTCAGCAATATGTGAAACTGGTGGTTTTTCACCAGTTGCACCTCCAAGGTAAGAATTGTGTCAACATCCCGATTTCCACATCACAGTAAGTTTGTTCAGCCCAGCAATCTCCTTTCCAAGTTGTAAATGCTGGTTTAAGACTGCTGTTTGTCCTTCCTGTCAGTCCTTCCAGTTTTTGTTCCTTACTTTGTAGTGCATATGGGTCTTAAATTTTAGGAATGAGTTAATGAAATACCAGAATATTAGTGTCATGCCATTAAATATCTGTAAGTTGTGAAAATGCAATAATGAAATTATTTTCTTTGTCTTCTGGGTGAGTGTTTCTTACAGATACTCATACTGATCAAGTATTTCTCAAGAATTTCAGCTGTTTGACTAAGCTTCTGTAAAGCTGTGATTTATTTCTTAGCTCAGCCAAATTAGTATCAAAGGATATTTGTGGATCAATTAACCAGGATGGAAAAGAGTAAGTATAATCACTTATGTTGAGAGCTGTAAAGTCAGTCCTCTTTCCATTTTTTAGGCACCACATAAACAATGTTTCCAGGAGTTCATAACATCAGTTCTTGCAGAGGAAAGTGTAAGCCCTAGGAGTGTAGTCTTATTCAAATATTTCTGCTGAGATTGTTCAAAACTTACTTTCTTAAAGAAACTGATTAGAAACAGTGTTTTAGGGTACTACTCTCACAGTAAAAATAGGCTTCAAATGGAGTTTTGATAGCATGTTTACTTTTTTTCCGTTCAAATGTGAATGAAGGACAATGTATCAGTTGTTCTTCCAAGACCAGCTGAGGCATCTGAGCCAAGTTATCCATTATGACACCCCAAGCTTTTTCTCTGTATAGCTTTAATATTAGGAGCAACAGTATTGTAAAAAGAATACAGTGAGAAATTGGAAAATCAAACTGATTATTCCTAAGTAACTGAGGCCTAACTTCTAAACTGTATAAATGAGTTCTGATGCCAATGAGAAGGGGAAAAAGGTCTGCTTTACTTCAGTAGTAGTTTTTCACACTTTTTGAGAGAGCTGCTACAGACATGCTATTCTCTAAATGTAAAGAAAAACATGTATCATGACAGATACTTGTGGCAGCCTTTTATAATGCGTTAAATAGCAATTTAAGAAGTCACAAGTTCTGTTCCTTAAGAGGAAAATCTAGCTTTTGTAGTCTTCCAGTTACACAAAAGATTAAAATGTGGACAAGCAGGAATTTTGCAAAGCTATACCTGTAGATACAACTGTTAAAATGCAAAAAAGCTATCAGATTATTTTGAACCACGATAGTCTTGATATGCTTGAATTCCAGTGATGTAAGTTCCAGTTCATGTGTTTTTAACTAGCAGATTTCATCTGTGTTTTGTTACCACTGCAGTAAGAATAATTATCAACAATTGCCCCTCATGTAAATGAAAAACAGGCTTGCTATGGTATATGCACATAGATTGTTGTAGTGACAAAGTCTTGAGTAGTTGTATAATGGAACAGTGTTGACTCTCTTTATGGGACAAAACAGTATTTCCAAACATTAACATTTCTAAATTTGCTTTAAGGACACACATCCTCAGATATTCCTACTTTATGTAAGGTTTTAGTTTAAAATGAAATCCTAACTACTGTAGACTTCATTGTGACTTAAGCTGAAACTATTCAGGATCCATAGAGTTTGTCACCTGGTCTGTGTGCAGCTTTCTGTTTGACGTCTAAGCTGAACTGACATCTGGTCCTCTAGAGGAAACTTATCGGTAGCCAGATTTAACCATCAGTCATTTTTTGTAAGGGTAAAGTTCTTAAGTGGATTATATTGAATGCGGGAGAAGTTTAAGGTGAATAAAAGTTCAGCTGCAGAGTCAGCAAGAATGGGCAGGATTATATATTATGTTGAGCTCTCTAGGAGTCAGAATTCTGAACTGCTGTACTTGGCGCTGGTGAGGCCACACCTCGATTACTGTGTTCAGTATTGGGCCCCTCACTACAAAAAGGACATAGAGTTACTCGAACATGTCCAGAGAAGGGCTACAAAGCTGGTCAAGGGTCTGGAACACATGTCCTGTGAGGAGCGGCTGAGGGAACTGGGATTGTTCAGTCTGGAGAAGAGGAGGCTGAGGGGAGACCTCATCACCCTCTACAACTCCCTGACAGGAAGCTGCAGAGAGCTGGTTTGAGCCTCTTTAGCCTAGTAGAAAGTGACAGGACAAGAGGGAATGGCCTCAGGTTGTGCCAGGGAAAGTTCAGACTAGATATTAGGAAGCATTTCTTTCCAGAACGTGTTGTTGGGCATTGGAATGGGCTGCCCAGGGAGGTGGTGGAGTCCCCATCCCTGGAGGTGTTCAAGAGTAGGGTCGATTTGGAGCTTAAGGATCTGCTGTAGGGGGGAACTGTGCTAGGCGAACGGTTGGACTAGATGATATCCAGGGTCCTTTCCAGCCTAGATGATTCTGTGAAAATGGAAAATAACGGAAAGCAGAATTTGAGGACATGTTCCCACATAGAGTGAAGCATGGGGTTTGAGACAGAGTGCTTTTTTAAAAAGTATGCTCTACTTCAAACAAAAGCCTGAATAATTCAAACTAGATGATCACAATGATTTTTCTGTATTGTTATACTCAGACTCAACAAATAAAACTTTTGATAGGTAACTGCAGTACGGCTGACACAGTAAGGTGGCACTCAGAAATATTTACCTTTCCTCAGGTCAAAATCTGGAAGTGCCTTTAAGTTTCAGAACATGGTGTTACCAGTCCCGAGTACTCAATACTGTGACCAAATCCCAGTGTGTTGCATCAAGGCAAATTTTATCCAGCAGAATGAAACTGTGCCAACCTTTGGTGTCAGATTTGTAGATGATGCCCTAGCCAACACTTCATAAAACAAATGTTTCACTTCCCTGTAGCAGAGCAGCACGCAGGAAAGTGACAGTCTTGTGGTTTAGGATGGAAATAGCTATCTGTTTTTGCCTTGCAGTGAGAAACAAGTGTTTCTCCACTGTAGTGTGTTCCTAATTTAGCATTTAAAGCTACAGGTTGTAAGTTACTGTCTTTTCCCATAGGTTAGTTCTGCAAACTAGAATTTGTTCGTATGTCAACTTTAACAAATAACTAGGTGTACCTTGACAAAGTACATTAAACAAAGGGTCAGACTGTGTTGTGCACATGACCATGCATCCCTCATTTAATAAATGACAAATCGGTGACAAATGTTAATCACTGAGGAAGGGATGGCTGTCAAGGTACTCTGCTTTTGCTAGGAAGAGCTTACATGGCATGATGATCACCGTTAGCAGTTAGAGTGACCCTGTGGATATATCCTTGAACAGAATGTGTAAGTCACAAACAGTTCCCCAGGCTCGCTCTGCTGTGGCTTTATGCCCTTTCCCATTACAGAAAGCAAGGGGGTGCACTCTCAACCTCGTTACTCAAGAGGAGGGTCCCTCACTCTTTGTATCTCTTCCATTAGACATAAACTGTTGATCAAGTCTGAGACTAAAATTGGATCCAACTGCACCTAGGCTCCATAAGGGGCTTAGAAACCAAGGGGGTCTACTCTCAACCTCGTGACTCAGTGGGAGGGTCACTCTTACTCTGCAACGCTGGCCTCTGTGTGAATCATTCTAACGTGATTCTAACTCAATTTTCCTTTGTATGTTTCTTCCATGCAGAGTTAATAGGGTGAACCTTGCCATCACATTTATTGAACCTTGTTCAAACCACTGTTAAACTTTGTTAAATTCCATCAAATTTATTGAACTATCACATTATTATTTTACCCCAATTAAAACATACTGCTGCTTCTCTCTTCTGTGAGGTGCATTCCACTCATCTGTGACAAGAGGATAACAGAATTGCAGTTTTCAGCCTTAATCGGATCTAGCATTTTGTGACAGCAGGTTTTCCAGTTTCAAGGAATAACAAAAGTCAAACAGCTTTTTTTCCTTAAGACTTTCCTGGTGGAGATGCATGTCTTACCCCAGTGTAGCCTTCAGAAAACTTAGCAACTATTTGTTTGGACTTAAACCAGAATGCAGGAAAGTAGCCACAGCTGATTGAAGCAGTGCTACCCAAGGGGAGAGTGGAAGGAGTGAAGTAAAATACCCACACTAAGTTTATACAATTTGTTACACTTAAAGCTGAATCAATTTTCTTGATGCTTTTTCAAGCATCAACTTTTTTTCTGGCTTATTGTCTGGAATCATGTTAGCACTTCTCTCTGCTCTCAGCATTACTGAAGGACATTTTTCCCTGACTCTCTCTAGGCCTGTTTGTGTTATGTTCCGGCAGAAATCCACATGGAGTGTTTGCAGTGATCCCCCATAGAGGGTCACTGCTTCTAGTGTCTGGTCAGTGATCCGCACACAGTTTTCCAGTTTGAGTGTCTTGAGGTTTGGGCAGTTCTTGAGCAGAAGCAAGATGCAGTCATCTGTAACGTGGCCACATCCAGAGAGGGTCAGAGATCGCAGGTTTGGAGATCTGAAAACATGATCATTACAGGTGAGATGAGGGGAAAAATAAGTACTAGAGCTTGGAGAAGCTAGTGTTGTCAAAATAGGAATGTTAGAAAAATACTTCCGCTTCCATCAGGAGGGGTGTGACTCTGTAAGTAAGTGGGGGCATATGTTGACCTTAAATCTCAGCTTTATTATTTGCAATACTTCTTTGCTTTTTCTGTTGGTAGCAACATCCATAGCTCAGTTGGCATAGTGGAGAAGGGGACATGGACACCTACTTAAGTTGCAGCTTCACTGCTTTTTCTTAAGGATATGCACAGTGCTGTGCTTCTCCAAGCAGGGTGAATGAAGACCCAGTAGAGATGAGATTCAAGTCAGGATGAATTTGAGGACAGTTGAGTGAAGAAGCTGCTGTGTAGACACGCGGAGCATGGGCAAGTAAGATACTCCCACTCTTGATTTTATGGGGGTTAATGGGTGTCTTTCAGCTCCTTGAATTTACTGTGCCAGCTACTGCCTGAGTAGTGGTGTTTGCACCCCACATCACACTCAAACCCTCCTTCAAATCACTGAAACTGGGAAGAACTCTACTGTAAAACATGGACACAACAAATTTTAAAAGCTTTCTTTTTTGTTGATTGGGTAGATCTGGGAAAGTGCAGAAGAGCCTGTTCCAAGACAGTGTGTTGATGCCTGTGTCACTGCAGGGTTTTCTTTTGTCCTTAAAAACTGGTACATAACACATTCCTCTTTCTCTACACCCCCAGCCCATCCCCCTGCTGCTGTTTGACTTCACCTTTTGAGGAGGGTTAATAAAGTGAGTGCGTGATCTTTTTGTTCTACATTTTTCCTTTCCACTTAAGAACAGTTAGGAAAGCAAATGTTTTAAAGCAGGCAAGGTCAAAAAAAGGCTCTGACCTGTCACCCCTTGTGGCTTCATCAATAGAATAAAGCTACTCTGACTTCAGGAAGAAAAGCTGTATAATTAATTTGCCTTTTTTGATTTTTTTATGAACATGGAGATTGCTTAGTACCCAGGCTTTGCTTTAAATCTTGTCCAGCAACCAGTTTGGGGTTATGGGTTCTGCAAAGAGAAAGGCACTTAAACTGTTTCTGCAGAGCTGTGGTCCTGTGTCGTCCTCCTGAATCCTAATCTGTGAGGGCAAAAAAATGCAAATACCATGTGGTGCTATGGTAGACATTCAGGTGCCAATGTGAGAGAATACTTCCTCCTACACCCTCCTTTGTAGGCAGAGATGTGCTTCCTAATGATACTTTGCTAATTAATCAAATTTTTTAGTCAGTTGTTCTGGAACAGTTACTTCTGCATTTTCATACTTGCAACTTAACATTATGTTTTGAACCTACATTTCAGCCCTTGTTTTGAGACATTGCACTGTTTCTGGTTCTCACCAAGACACTGTGTCCTATCAGTATTCTGTAATTTGCTGGAGTTTTTAAATTGTGGCTTCTGTGCTGTGGCATGAGGTGTGCCATTCCGGGCTAGGCACTGACATGCCCCTTCCAGCTCTCATCTAGGACCATGGCCATCCTCAGTGTTACTGAACACGAGGATTGTCTCTACCCCCTTTTCTCCTCCCAATGTAGGGTGGTTTTTGTTTTTTTTTTTCCTTAAAGCTGCTTTGTAGCAGTAAGGCTGTTATAAGAAATGGTGTGCACCTGGAACTGCTTTTCTATAGTGGTATTTTCCTTTACTGTAATTTATAAAAAGCTTAGATAGAGTTAAATTTCAGTATAAAGACAATAGTTATTTTTTAGAATGAGACAATTTTGGTGTTTAGTAACATGCTTAATCAACTTGTTTTTGTTATGACATATATTCATTATTTGAAGCCAGGTCTTTCCTCTTGTCCCTCCCCCAGGACAATGCCTGGCATGCCAGACTGGTAGGTTTCAGTGAAGCAGCAGTGTAGTAGGCAGCATTGCACTTTCTATTCTTTAAAAAAAAAATAAATTAAAAAAAAAGAGGAAAAACATAGACTTAAGCAAAGTCAATATGAAGCATACACTACTGCCACTAGAAAACCAACTTAGCACTGTATTAAAACTGCAAAGTCAAAGCACTCACGTACTCAATGCTCCATTTCAGGTAGGAGGTATGGAGTAAATAGCGCTCATTGTCTTATTTCTAGGCAGTTGTTAACCTTTACAGCAGATGTAAAGTTTCAAACCCAAAGAACGTACCTGTTGCAAACTTCTAGTAAAAAATCATTGACAGTGTTTTCATGCCTGTTACAGAAGTCTTTCTGGAAATTGTTTTTCATCCAGTCCTCAATGTTACACACCTTGACTCTGTCTGAATACCAGCAGATGGATAAGTATTTTAAAGCAGGTCCCAGGAGAAAATTATCCTTCTTTAGTTCCGCTGGAGAATGGAAGTTCAACAAAGACCACAGTAAAGGATCCTGAAACACTTCTAGCAACTTGTGACATGTTTTTGCTAAACTTTTCCTACTATTTTTATCCAGAAAGGAAAATAGATGTAAAAGGCATTCCCGATTCAGCTGGGTTATATGCATAGCCAGTCAGAGCGTGTTAGAAAGAAGAGTGTCTCCAGGCCTTGTGGAATCAGGGCAGTGCTGGAGGGGGCTCAGAATCCCCAGAAGGCTGTTGCACATATATGGTTGTGGAATGGTGTTTATTTTTGGCAAACAACTGTTGCAGAAGCTAAGAACAGGGAAAGGAAAAGAACATGCATGTGTGAAACTCTTGTTCTGTTTCTACAAGGGAATGGAATGGACATGTAAAATAGCAGCACTTGGCTTTCACAAAATGCTTCCTTAAAAGGGATTTCTTTCCTTTTAGGCACTTATGAAGTTAGCAAAGTTCTTGTGCTGAGTTACTGAACTGGGGGTGGGGCGGGAGGTGTAGCTACAGCAGCAAGGAGGAGCTTTGCCAGCCTCTCACAGCCAGAGGATTTGGCATTCCAAGCAGAAGGGTGTGTTTGCAGTCTACAGTTTTAGCCTTGAGTTGTTCGGTGATTTTTTAAGGTTGCACCTTTGCTTCAGTTATACTGGATAATGAACTTTCACAAACAGCTTGTAAAGTCTGCAGCTTTAATTGACAAGCCTCAGACTTACTTAGAGGCAGTTTCTTGCATGCTGTTATTTGAATAAACAAAGCTAGCTCTTCCCCCTCCGTTTGCAGGAGGAAGGTAACCATACACAGAAGGGCATGCATAGGAACACTGAGTCTGTGTTTAGCTGCTTGTAGACCTGTGCTTCTCATAGACGACTTCTATGAGCTTGAGTATACAAGTGTTCTTGTGTTGTTTGTTTTTTGTAAGTTTAGTTCTGTTACCATAGACTTGGCAGCTTTGGTGGGAAAAGGATATATAGAATTGGTTTTACCAAGAATAGTGTTTGGTTTCCATTAGTGAAACTGCAGCAGAGAGTCTCTCCAAGAAGAAAAATAAATCTACAGCAAATGGCAGTTTGGAATTAATAGCAATACTAGTGGTAGTTTATGCCAATCTTCTGTCTGGTGTTTATACAGGAAAATAATACATTCAACTAATTAGTAGATATTAACAGCAAAATAGCCCTGCAGGAATGAAGTGGCTTGCACCTTTTTAGTAGCTGGGAGATTTTATGTACCTATGCATTTTAACTGGTCCCACTTAACCCTGTCATCTACTGAAACAAACCCAAAGTTCACCTCTTCCTCCTTATCCTGAGAAGGCAGTTTGAAATTCAACTCTGAAAAACAGGATTTGAAATTTTTTGACAGTCTGCAACAATTATTTTAGCTTCCTATCTGTGGTTCAGTAATGTGCATGCTTACAGTATCTAAAAATGGGGATCTGTTCAATTCTTTAGAGTTAGTAATTTTCTATTACATATGGTAAGCTGCACTTAGCTGCCAGTCTTTCTGGTTTCATATCCTTTGTCATTTAACATTTGAAATGAGGAGGAGATTCCTGCTCCCCACTCATGCTCAGAAACAGGCTATGGAGAGTGGCATGAGTGCTTTATGAAACCACAGAAGGGACAAGAGTAGATGATTTCACATACCAGGTAAGCCAGTCACTGCAGAACAGCAGCTTAAATGGTGTGTCAGCTGGTGGTGGTCTTTCATTTTCATAGTAGCATTTTCACTTCTCACTCTGTCCCTTTCTACTTTTCAGAACTTACCTTCATTTTTGAGCAGGTTTAAATAGTTGAGACTGCTCAGAGTTGTATTACACACAGGAATATTATTTTTTAAAAAAACTAGCAGCAAGCAAAGTTGAATGACAAGGTTATCATTGCTAGGATGGCCTCTTCTCACAATCTGACCTAAAAATTAACAGCTGTTGGGTGATAAGGCCCTTGAAATGGCAGGTCCTCTTTGAGCTTAGATGCTAAATTGCAGTAGAGGTGTTAAACAGGGGGAACATTTCAGTTTGCTTTATTTTGTTTTCCCCAGAGCAAGGTAGAATACTCTGCCATCTGTGTGATTTACACTAATGATACTCTGCAAGCCTGTAGAAGGACAAGAGGAGTTTCATTTTCTAAGGAAAGGAGACACTTTAATGGCACATTTTCCATAAACACACTGTGTGCATGAGATATAATTCACATTCAACCTGGAAATGCTCCAGAAACACACACAAGATGAGCACAGTCAGTAATCCTCACTGAAAATTACACACTAGGTTTTAATGGTAAACAATTACAACTATGGCACTACAGTACTTGAGGATATCCTAAAGCACATTGGAATCAATTTTCAAGGTGCCGATTACCTCAGCAGTAAGACATAGACACATCAGTAATGAAACATCGTTGGGAAAACTTCTGAACACCACGCGTTATGCTTTCCACTGATTTAGTAAAATCCTTGTAAGCGGCCTTGGGCTTTTGATACAAATCCACTGTCCTTGCCTGTCTGAAAGTTTTAAACTCTCCTCTCATGCTGACATCTGTTACCACCTGGAAAGCACCTTCTGACTATACAGTGAGAAGGAGCTCCCTTGTAAGTGCCTTAGAGTTTCGCATAATGCTGCACTTAACAGCTCGCTATCCAATACACTAAAGCAGAAGTACTCAGAGCTGGACGTTTTGCAGTTTAGTTTTTACATAAATCTTGTCTCCAGTTGTATACATGGCTAAACAATTACTAACAAAAGGACAACCTTTGATCAGACAAATTTTGGTGAAAAATATGCAAGTCTTTGAACTGTAGAGAGTAGTTGTTGCTTGCAGAGCAGTCACAAGCAAGAAAAAAAAATCTTGCCAGTTAGTGTGTACTATGATCAGCAGTAAGTAGAAAAGAAACATTTGGCTTAAATGAAATGAGATATTCCCTGTCCCATCCCCCTGCTGCTGTTTGACTTCACCTTTTGAGGAGGGTTAATAAAGTGAGTGCGTGATCTTTTTGTTCTACATTTTTCCTTTCCACTTAAGAACAGTTAGGAAAGCAAATGTTTTAAAGCAGGCAAGGTCAAAAAAAGGCTCTGACCTGTCACCCCTTGTGGCTTCATCAATAGAATAAAGCTACTCTGACTTCAGGAAGAAAAGCTGTATAATTAATTTGCCTTTTTTGATTTTTTTATGAACATGGAGATTGCTTAGTACCCAGGCTTTGCTTTAAATCTTGTCCAGCAACCAGTTTGGGGTTATGGGTTCTGCAAAGAGAAAGGCACTTAAACTGTTTCTGCAGAGCTGTGGTCCTGTGTCGTCCTCCTGAATCCTAATCTGTGAGGGCAAAAAAATGCAAATACCATGTGGTGCTATGGTAGACATTCAGGTGCCAATGTGAGAGAATACTTCCTCCTACACCCTCCTTTGTAGGCAGAGATGTGCTTCCTAATGATACTTTGCTAATTAATCAAATTTTTTAGTCAGTTGTTCTGGAACAGTTACTTCTGCATTTTCATACTTGCAACTTAACATTATGTTTTGAACCTACATTTCAGCCCTTGTTTTGAGACATTGCACTGTTTCTGGTTCTCACCAAGACACTGTGTCCTATCAGTATTCTGTAATTTGCTGGAGTTTTTAAATTGTGGCTTCTGTGCTGTGGCATGAGGTGTGCCATTCCGGGCTAGGCACTGACATGCCCCTTCCAGCTCTCATCTAGGACCATGGCCATCCTCAGTGTTACTGAACACGAGGATTGTCTCTACCCCCTTTTCTCCTCCCAATGTAGGGTGGTTTTTGTTTTTTTTTTTCCTTAAAGCTGCTTTGTAGCAGTAAGGCTGTTATAAGAAATGGTGTGCACCTGGAACTGCTTTTCTATAGTGGTATTTTCCTTTACTGTAATTTATAAAAAGCTTAGATAGAGTTAAATTTCAGTATAAAGACAATAGTTATTTTTTAGAATGAGACAATTTTGGTGTTTAGTAACATGCTTAATCAACTTGTTTTTGTTATGACATATATTCATTATTTGAAG